ATACATTTGGTAATGGAAATGCCTTCTCAGGTGATTGTCCCAAATTCATCCTTGGACAGAGTCTTAAGCTTTCCCAGGAAAAAAAAACTCAACACACAGTTCTGCACGTAGGCAGTTTTGTGAGAAGTGCTTTCATGATCAAACTCTACGAGGCAATATAGGAAGTAGAATTTGACAGATGGAGGAATTAAATTGCCACTGAATCAGGTGGGTTTTGTAGACCATTGTGGAGACTGTGGCCTTTACTCTGAGTTATAATGCCATCAAAGGGTTTTGAATAGAAAAGTGACATGGTCTGATTACGTATTAGCAGGCTCAGCTGACTGCTGGGGGATGGCTAGGCCATCAAGGGACAAGAATGGAACCAGGGAGACAACAGGCTACTCTACTCGGCCAGACAAGCAATGATAGTGGCCGTGCCCAGGCAGTGGCAGCAAGGTGGTGAGAGGTTGTCAGTTCTGTGTATGTGGATATATTTCAACGATTAACCTTTCTCAGAGGTGAGTAAGATTTTGTCTGGGTCATAAAAGAGTTTGAATCAGTGAGGAAATGAGATCTGGAATGAGTTATCATATAATGGGTACACATCTAGAGGATAGTGGGGGTTATGGAGCCCTTCCTGGGAAAATCTAGAAAATAAACTGAAGTGGGTAGGTTGAGACTGAACCCCGGAGGGTCTCATGGACCACATTAAAAACTTAGATTTTATCCTGAAGGTGATGTGAACAGTTAAACAGTATTACCTACGGCGGCAACGCATTCCAGTTGATGACTTAGATGCTCCGAGTCGCTCTGGTGATGTGAAAAGGGGCTCATGCAGAGTAGAGTTAACACAAGGAAACCCGTTAATAAATGCATGCCGCTGTCCCGGGTAGAGATAATAAGCTAATATTTATTATGCACTTGCTGTGCATTAAGCACCGTTCTAAGCCCTTTATGTGTATTAGCTCAGTTCGTGGAACAACTCTATCAGGTAGGCACTGTTAACGTCCACATTTTACAGATGCAGAGCTGCAAGCACGAAAAGGCTAAGTAAACTTGCAAGTTTATGGGGTCACATAGCTCTAAGCAGGATCAGGATTTGAACCCAGGCTGGAGAATTCAGGTCCTTATACACGATACTACAGTCATCTCATAAATATAAGAGCCTGGAGACGTAGGGGAAATAATAGAGTAGATCTCTTTCATTTTGTCCCAAACTGAATTGTTAGTAAGCCACAATTTTGCTTTAGCATTATAGCAGTATCCCTAAGAAACCCACTGTCATAGCGTGTCCTTTTCTCCTCACTCAGAGCTTGGATTGTGTTGCCATCCATTTCTCTTCCCGTAGCAATACAGGGTAGAGAGCAGGCGTTCAGGGTGCATCTTTGGATAAAACGGTATTGTGATGACATCAGTTTGTTGGGTAACCCAAGCCTGTGCTCTGGTGTTGTCTCATAATTTCTTACTAGGGAAATACATCAAACTTGTTGGTCGCTGGTGTGCTTTTCCCCACAGCTTGTGTTTGGGGATATCTGGAATTAAATAAACTCAGGGCCACCAGAATGTCAGTACTATATGAGGTTATTGTGAAATATACTGGTGTCTGGGGAGAAAAGTGTATCTTTTGACTAATAAGAATACAAACACAGTAAAACAATCATTATATGACTGTTATTTTTCTAACTGTCAAAGTGTGGGGAATTTGAGTAGTGCCCCAGTTTTATAGAGGAAACTGTCTGGAGAGTGCCTGAGCTAGTTTGCCAAAGAAACATCAGCTCTGTGGCCTTGCCTGTTTACGTTCAGGGAGGTGTTGAGAGCAGCGTCTTTTTTCATGTGGCTGTTAAGGATATTATTACAGTTTCATAAAGCAGGGTACTTTACTGTACTTTAGGCCAAATGTTATCCAAAAGAGCAAATAGAAACTTCTAGCCCTGACAGGCAATCAAGCCTAAAGTGTGACCCAGGGACACAAAAATAGCGAGAAATCGCTTGCTCACACAAAGGCATCATGTAGCCCCAGTGGTAGGGCAGGAAGGCCATAGTCCCTGGAGCCTCAGTGAGTATTACCTGTGTCCTGTGTGGCTGAAAACGGAGGGCTGGGGAGAAGGGAAGGGATGAGCTCAAAGAAGATTACAGAGTCTGCATTAGGCACTAGGGGAATGAGTTTTATTCTGGGAAAGCCGTGAGGGATTGGAAATGGGTTGATGGCCACTGAGTAAGCAGGGTTCAGAAGCCCCATAATTTTTGGAAACTAGAATACCTTAAAACATGAAGTTCAGTGTTAGGAGCACATATTTGAGAAACTCTAAAGCAACAGCCAGCCCTACCCAGCCCTTTCTTCTCAGCTCACGTTCCAGGTAAGGAGCACTTTTATTTTTGAAACGCAGGTGCACAGGCAGGAGAAGGGAGAAAGATGTGACGCCCGTCTTTTTAACGAGCATTGCTACTGGAAGAGAAATGAGCATCCCCCTGAACTTTATGTGATGTCAGTTAAATGAAGGTGTTTTATAGCACTTTACCACAAATTAGAATCAGCTAAATTGAAAATAAGCCTAGCAGCTGGGATAAGTAATCAGGTAAGAGGCCAGTTTTGCTATTTTTGCTTTGCACTGAGGACAGAATTTGAATTTCTAATGTCCCCGAGGCTCACAATTGGGGAGCATGGTTTCTGGGCCGACTGTTGAAGATGCTAGCAGCTCAGTCTCGCCCCCAGCCCCCAGCCCCCAGCCTGCTTGGAGACGGGCCCGAGCACATGCGCCTGTACAGCAGAGACAGCTGTGGATCAGTGCAGGACACAGCTCTGCTTCTGGCGGCACCTTAGAGAACAGAGGAAACAGATGACCCAGAACAAGGCAGTAAATCATCCACATTAACTGAGATACTTTCATGAAAGGACTGAAATGCATACGAAGACTTTATGGCCACTCGTGAAATCAGCCCAGACCTGAGGAATTATTTGTTTTCTGAAAACATGAGTGCCCTGTGACTGTGTTCAGTGGCTGCGATTTGCACACGGTCAGGATGCCCCGACATCGCAGCTACTGGCTTGGTGGACAGAGCTTTTTACTCCACGAGCTCGTGTTTCTGGCTTGGATTACCCGATGATTTTAGTATCTGAAATGTGTCAGGAAACTAGTGAGGAGGCCAAAAGCAGTTTGGTGGCGATAGCTGTACAGATTGGTGGCCCAGGATCCACCTGATGTGTGTGTAGGGTTGCTTGTGGGGGCAAAAGACAGAGGAGAGAAAGATGAGTGGGATGTTACCGTGAATGAAACTTTGTGGACCGCTCAGAATGGAAGTGTTAGGGCAACAGAGGGAGATAAAAGGATGGCTTATAAAGATATGTAGGATATGTAGGCCGTATTGAGTACAGTAGTCCTCCTTTATCTGTGGTTTTGCTTTCTGCGGTACCCACGGTCAACCATGATCTGAGAATATTAAATGGAAGATTCTAGAAAGAATTCATAAGATTTAAATTGCACTCTGAGTAGTGTGATAGTTTCACACAGTCCAGCTCCTTCGCAGCCCTATTGTGAAGCCTCCCGTTGTTCAGCATATCCACCCTGTATAGGCTCCCTGCCTGTTAGTCACTTAGTAGCCACCCTGGTTATCACATGGACTGTTGCAGTATCAGTCCTTTTGTTCAGGTAATCCTTATTTTGCTCAATCATGGCCCCAAAGTGCAAGAGTAGTGATGTTGGCAATTCAGATATGCAAAATAGAAGCTGTAAAGTTCTTCCTTTAAGTGTAAAGGTAATTACGTAGAGGGAAAAACAGACTATATAGGATCTATACTATCCATAGTTTCAGGCATCCAGTGGGGTCTTGGAACATATCCCCCGTGGATAAGGGGGGACTGCTTCATATAATTTTCCTTTTTTCCCCTTTGCAGCCCATAGATTAAATGAAGTAAACTACTAATTTGCATAAAATCTACATCTAGTTTTTCAGTTAACAGAAAAATAAAAGTTGCAAATTTCTTTCTGCTTACAAGCTTTCTACATGAAACACTTTTCTCAAAATACGCATTTATTTATCTTAAATGTTTTTATCTTAAAATAGCCCGATAACTTTTCAGATACCTAATTACTGAAGCAGCAGATAATTTGATAGTGAAAACGGGTCTACCTTCCCTAACCCACAGCCCTCACTTGACTTTCAGTACTTTGCACTTTAGGTTTGGATATGGAAAGAGGAAGGTATGAAATTTCAGTCATCATTACCCTTTGATGATTTTGTTCAGAAACTGTACCCTAAGGCAGAGGAGTAAGCAGGAAGAGCCGACTCCTCTGCTAGAGTATCAAATATATCATGACACGTGGAGAATGGGGCAGGTCTCTGATGAATCGGGCTAACAGTGGAAAGGTATCTTCTCTGTCGAGCCCCAAACTGAGAGCCTCTCGTGCTTGACCCTGTTCAGCCCACTTGGGAATTGTTCAAGGTGGCCCTTGGCTGGTCTGACAGATCACTGTGTTCTGAAAACATTAAAACGTATGCCCAAGTCAGAAAGGTTATCTGTTCACTGCATTTTGTGGCTTTGATAAAAGTGGCGCAGAGAGTTGAGTGAATTTATAGGACAGGAGTTCAAATACGCTGACCTATTGTTTCCAAAGAAACGGTGTCTTGCACTGCCTCGCCTCTGTGTCTTGTGCTGCCCTCTTCTGGCTCAGACATTTCTTAGAAATGCGTGTTGAGAAAAACCAAGTGGTGGAAGCACTGGTATCATTTCTATTTTCCATTAGAAAGTAATTTTTCATTCTGTTTTCTGAAGGTGAGGTCAATGTATAGTTAATTCTAAATTAACTATACATTATTAATACAGATGTGCTGAAGATATAAGTTGGTGTAGAAAATACATGAGAGTAATTTGGTCATTTATATGGATTTCACAATGTCTGTGAAAAGAAACGATTTTGAAGCTAATTGCATCATTAGTCAAATTTTCTGAATCGTTTATGTGAAAGTCCATTGTTATTGAAAATAATCTGGACCCTTTTCTCCATGTTTGTATTTTTCAGTGGCTGCTAATTTGCAGAAGATTGTAGATGATCCCAAAGCTTTAAAAACCTTGACATTTAAGTTGGTAAGTGGAAAGTTTTGGAAAGCAGGTAAATATTCTGCCATGTGGTGCCATCAAGGAATAATAATAACAGAGTTCCACACTCTGCTCTGTAATTTTGTTGCTGCTGTTTTCTTTTGGGATCTATTTTTGCATCTTTCATTTGCCAGTTCGACATTTGGGAACATTTTCTGATCATGACCAGAAATATCCCCTTCCATCAGCATGGCTTGTTCTTTTACCATTACATCTTTAATGAAGAGTGGCCACCTGAGTAATCTTAAACACCATGCCAGTTTGCTTCCATTTTGTATGGCAACTTGACCATATAGAACAAAATTAAACTGAGCTACAAGGAACTTTCCTTTTTCAGGATTAAAACACTTATTATTTGGCTCATGTATTTCACAGTTTTCAGTAATTTGTCTTTTAAAGAGTGCTTTTATTTATTGATTTTTCACTCACTGTTGACATACAATATATTAGTTGCAGGTGATTAGACAACAATACTTGTACACAGGCAAAGTGTCGGTCATCTAGACCTTAAGTTGCTTGCAGCATTCTGACTGGCCCTTGATACAGTTAATTTATGATTTTAAAATGAGTCACTTAATGTACTGTTTGCTAAAACTTTTACTAAAGCATTCCAGAAGCGAAAGCTAAGTGGTTCTAACTTAAAAAAAATTGAGCCTGATTATTGTAAAAATGGTTTAGGTAATTGGAAGTAACTGTAGAACAACTCGCTAAAGGCTAGTGAAAAAAAGACAGCATTCTAACTTTACATTGCAAATCCCAGTAACAGTTTCTTAGAGAGGAGACACTCCAGCAGTTTTTGTGCACAAGTGGATTTTTAATTGAATAACTGGGGTGGCCACAGAGACGCAGAATACTGAGCATTCTGGGTTCATTGTGAAACCAGGAGATGGTTATCATGGCTGGAAATGGAAAGCAGTCCAAATAGCCAAAGGGACTATTTCTTGAAAGTTTTAACAAGCATCACACTGATTCATTTCTAAACTATAAATTAATCTTATCAAGGGCCAGTCAGAATGCTGCAAGCAATTTAAGGTCTAGATGACCAACACTTTGCTGTGTACAACATGTACTGATGACCTGTCTCTCTTGTTTCTTGTGAAAATTTAATGGAAACGGCGTATGGCCAAAAATGCTAAATGATTATTAGTTACAGTAAGTGTTAGCCTGGTGCTCATTAACTTTCTGGGTCTTCTCATCTAATTTCAGGTAGGTAGGCTATGTGATAAAAGAAGAATTCTGTGCAAACCTTTATGTTTATCTGACAAAATTCATTTTGCTTTGATAATTTTTTAAAAAACATTTTATTCAGACATAGAGTGATCCATTGACAAACTGAAAATTTCACCTTGCTTGGGACTCTTCTATCACTTACTTTTCTAATTCGCCTACATCTTTGTAAACATGTTTCATTTATATGAAAATACATTGATGAGAAAATGGCACCCTGTGCCAGCATTTCCAGCAATATTAATGTGTCTTTATTCATTTTTATACCATTAGAAAGAAGTCATAACACCACCTCAAGAACATTTTCCTAGTTTTGAACATGTAAACAGAGAGATGAGACACTACAACTTTCATGCTGGCTTATTCCCACTGTCTCTAAACTTGTTTGCCTATAAAGCAGGAAGAGCAACCCTGACCCCCTTCTGCAACTGAAGGTTGTAAAACGGCCGCTGTACTGTTGCTGAACAGAAGAGTAATGTGAAACTCGCCCTCTACTCAGTGTATTACTTCCCTGGGTTCTCTCTCGATTCTGGCCTCCTCTCTTCATCCCCAGGTCCCTATTTCCAGCACCCCAATGGGATCTTCCAAACAGACCTTCCTGCCTACAACTTGCCAGCCTCCAGCTCTGTTTACCACACTGAGGCTATAGCCAGAGTAATTCTTCTACGATCCCCAATGCTCCAAATACTTGAGTGGCTCTCCATTGCCCTTTTCTAAAACTCAAACCCCTGAACGTGGCTAAGGAAGCCCTCCGTGATCCAGACCTCTGTTAATTTGCCCCGCCGCCCCCACTCATTCTCTCTCTCTCTGTCTCCTTGTTCCCTCCTCTTTTCATCTGTTGGCCCTTTATATGTGCTTTTCCCTCTTGCTAAAATATCCTATCCCAACTTCTCCAGGCCTCATTGTCTCACCAATGCCTAGACACATTCCAGTTTTCTCTTTCTCTGATTTCCAGTGCTGGCTTAGGTGTTCCTATATCTCTACCACAAGAATTACATTATATTGAAATTGTGCAGGATCGTATTTGTATCTCTAATAAATCTAGAGACTTCAAGTGGGCAAATCTTCTATCTTGGATCCCCCAGGGCCTAGCACATAGCAGGGGCCTGATAACAATTAAAATATATCAGAATAATACAACTCTCATTTAGAAAAACTTCAGCCTAATCTTCATAGGACATTAGCGTCTTGGTAAAACCACAGCGATTCAAATTCTTTGCCTTCATTCATCAAATTGGTTATTTTATTGAAGAATGAAAGATCAGAGTATATCATTAGCATTTTTCCTCATAAGCCACTGCTTCTTGGAGCCCTTTTATCTCTCAGCTTATCATTTTAATCTGAGCTTTCTTTGCTTTCTGAAGGAGAGCATCAGGGCCCTAAATTTGTCTAAAGAACTTGGTACTGGGGTCTTTACCTCACCGCTAGACAGTAGTTTCACTCAGGGAATTACAGGGACACTGAAAAATTACTAGTGCCTGGGTCCTGCACTATATATCCTAATGTAATTGCTCTTGGTGCAGCCTGGGCTTCAGGAATTTTGAAAACACCCCGGATGCTTCCAGTGTTGAGCTGAGAAGCATTCCATGTGTAGCTCCTTTTCCAGTTTCCCCACTCCCACCGCTATTGGAAATATTTGGCTCAAATTTGAAAAGATGTCTGTTCTTATCTTGTCTATCTGCTTGTATAAGAAAAACAGTGGCACGAGGTGAAAGGATATTGGTTACATAAAGAAGTGAATTTCCTTTTTTCCTTTACCCAATCTTTCGCTTTAGAGATCTTGAGATTCATTTGACAGATAAGCGAGGTATGATTTCCTTTGTTGACATGGCCAAGGATAGGCAGAGCAGAAACCTTTTTTTTAAATCACTTTTAACAAAGTGGTTCAGGCGTAGAGGGCATTGCAGCTCAAGTGTAGTGTGCTTCAGGTTTGACGTATCTGTACTGTTTGGTTGTTTTAAGCCTTAAGACAAGGCTCTATAAATGTTTTTTCAAGTCGTTTTAAAATTTGCTGCCTTGCAATTTTGTAACGCAAATGAGTCTTGCTTTCATGTGGAATTTTTGAAATTGTGTTAGTGAAAATATGAAGATATTTAATTTGCCCTTGAAGATAGAATCCAAATTGTAAGTACATGTAATTCACATCCAATTGGTACACATTTACATGAGCATTATAGATTTTAGTTACTGAAGTTGAATAACATGCATTGCAGATAGCAATTTCGTAAGCGTCTTGGTAATTAACAACGAAAAGGGCCGTATTTTTAGAGGCTGTCAGCTTTGGCATAGTTGGAGGCTGCATGACTAAGGTGACATTTTACAAAGAACATAAAGGTGGGAAACTGCCAGTTCAGGAAGGTCCATGTAGCAGCTCTCTACCCCTTGCTCCAGGTCTAAAACAGTGGTTCTCCAAGTGTGGTCCCAAGACTGGCAGTGTCAGCTCCATCTGGAAACTAGATAGAATGAGATTCTAGGGCCCACCTCAGGCCTTAGGAATCTGTGTTTTAACAAGCCCTCCAGGTGATTCTGATGCAGGCTAAAGTTTGAGAACCATTCCTTTAAAGCAGGGGTGGGGAACCTTTTCTCTGCCAAGGGCCATTTGTACATTTATAACATCATTCACGGGCCATACAGAATTATCAACTTAAAAATTAGCCTGCTGTATTTGGTCTGACATTTAATTAACTCACTCCTTAATGTGATGGCTGGAACGGCTTCTCTTTGGTGAGGCCTTGGCACCGCCATACCAAATGATTTCACGGGCCCTCTGCGGGCCGGACGTTCCCCACCCATGCTGTAAAGGAAACTTGGAGGTTCACTCGAGCAGAACAATGTTTTGCAAGCTCTACCCAACCTTTGAGTCACCTGGGAGCTCAGAATGTCCCAGTGCCAGTCACAGTCTCTGGGGTGGACATGGGCATTGGCATGTTTTCAAGTTCACCCAGCTTTGGGGTGAAGGGAATCCGTGTGGGTTAGGTTAGAGGATTCGGCGCCTACACAGGCAGCAGGCTCCTGCTGGTCTGGCGGGAGGGCTTAGGAGGCGGGAGTTTTCAGGGATACAGCCACTGGAGTGAGAACATACATTGTTATAGCGCCAGGCTGAGTTCCTGATAATGTGTACATTTCCCTTTGAAGCTGAGGTTAGTTCACAAAGTGTGGGCCTTGGAATTCTGGGGAATCCAGAATCCTTTAGATCCTTTTTAGGGGGATACTAGGTGTGAAAGCTCTTCATAATAATACTAAGATGTTACTTGCCTTTTCCATTGTGTTGACATTGGTAGAAAAGCCGTGGTGGGTAAAACTGCTAATGTCCGCATGAATCAAGGCAGGAACCTTAAACTGTGCTAGTAGCCATCAGGTTCTGCAAAGCCACACACTCAGTCAGTCACTGTGAAAAAAGCCAGTTTCATTTAAGACTTTTTCTAGTAAGACAAGAAACATTATAGATTTTATTTTATTAAATCTCTGTACTTGAGGACACATGTTTTTAATGTTCTATGTGGTGAAATGGGAAGCACTTGTTCAGCATCCTGAAGTACAGTGGTTGTGTCCAGGAAAAGCACTTGTGCGACTGAGTTGAACTACCCATTTTCCCTTTTTCTCCCCCGATGCAGTACCTCTTTTTACTTGGCAGAATAACTGACAGACTATGGTTATTCAGACAAGAGATGTGGCAGATATTATTTCCAAAATGAACCCTACGTACAAAACTATATATGGCATAATTTTGAATAAGCCTGGCAATTCAAGGAAAATGACTT